AACCAGAGTGAATTGATTTCATTTAACAGTATGTTTTTAACACATTGGTTTTAAAGAACATCTTGTTATTGATGGAATACAGAATATTTTCAATATTAAATTCATTTTTTTTAAGTTTTTTTTACATATGAAACATTTTTTGATGAAAAATCTAGGGGGGAAAAAAATAAGTGTGTGTCTGAGTTAAGGAAACAAACGGAGGTTCTCACCGGTGTAGTCCAGAGCGGTGGTGATGGTGGCCGTGGGCCGCTGGCTGCAGTACTGGGACACACCACTGTGGGTCTCCACAGTGAAGGTGTAGTTCAGATGAGAGTCCAGGTCGGTGACGATGACCGCTGTGTCCCGCAGGTCTGAAGGACCCGGCTCGAAGCGGATCTTCTCGCTGCAGGGTGAACAGGCGGCTCCGCTGCACAGCTCGCACACCACGCTGTAGGTGAGGTCACTGCGACCCCCGGTCATCAGCGGCGCGCTCCACAGCAGCTGTAGTCTGCCGTCTGCTGACAGGGTGGTGGAGGTGAGGTCACGGGGGCCACTGGGTGGAGCTGGGGGAAGGAAGTGTGTGACAGAACAGTCAGCCCCGTCTGTGCTGAAAATATAGACGTGTTTTTTCAAAGATCTGACGGTGGAACGAATTGTTACCAGAGCAGGGAGACGATGGCGGGTCTGAGGGGGAGCGGAAGAAACCTTCCTCACACTGACATTCAGTGGCGCCGGCCTCGGAGGGCCTGGTATTGTCAGGACAGACCTGACACAGCAGACTGGACACGGACGGCTTGTAGTAGCCGGGCTTACAGGCTGTGGGCGAGAAAAAAGGGCGAGCGTTGGTTTGGGCGTGACATATAGGAACGGGTGAGACACAGGAAGGAATAACTGATCAAGATGCAAACAATGAGGCGGCCGTGAAATAGCAGTCGTTCACGGGCCGACAGGAAGCGTTTGTTGTGACTAACCTGTAATCACAGAGTCTTTGTATGGAGAGGAGCGAACAGGGATTTCCCTGACGACCTGCCTGCACTCGCCTTTTTTGCTCAGAGGCCTAATCTCATGTCACAATGCCGGTGTCAACCGGATGAAGATGCAGCATTAAATCCATCAGGTGATCTGATCCGCCTTTTCCCCGAGAACCCGCTCTCAGCTCATATTCTCTCAGAAAATAACATTTGTGTTTTTGCCAGAGGAAACGGCAGCGGAGCGGAGGACGTTACAGCACGCAGATAAAACTCTGCGGGGTCACCGGAGGTTAATGAACATGCACACTGTTCACACACACCAGGATGTGAGAGCTGTAAGGCCGTCTGCGACCGACGTTTCCTCCTTCTCTTCCTTCCTTCCTCCAACCCCGACACAAGTCACAGATTACAGAACACAAGATGCAGCAAGACGATCAGGAAAGACGAAAAAAAAACTGCTGCTGAGTGTTGATGGAAACAGATGCACACACACTCTGTGAGTCAGTCGAGAAGACACACACACACACACACACACAGAGTCGCTGTGGTGGAAGAATTCACGTCTCTCCGTTCATTCTGCCCTTTCTCCAGGGAGGGGTCGTTCATGTGGTCAAAGCACTGGTGGCCACGAGAAGAGGTCAGACCCCCCCTCCTTCACCCCCCCGCCCCACCCGGAATGGCGACGTGGTCGCGTCACTGCACCACCGGGGCAGAAGGACCTTGGCCCCCTGAGCTCGGCCGTGGTGTGGAAGAGGCAGCAGCAGGTTGGGGTTGAGGTTGAGTAGGAGGAACGGCGATGAATAGATGGTGGGGGGGGGAGGGGGGAGGGGGGGCAAAGGTCTGGAGCACCAACAGAAGTTCTCTCAGGGGAGTCCCTCAGAGACTGGGGGGGGGGGGGGGGTGCGGGTGAGGTCTTTTCGCATAAGAAAAGGGGGCCGGTTCATTTCATCTTGAGCTGAAGCAGCAGGACTTCTGTCACGTACCAATGAAACTGCAGCTCCATTCATCTATTGTTCCCTGATTGGACCCAGTGCTGCCATAAATATGTTCTCTCACTTATTATGGGGTTTGAACCCGGCAGCAGGTGTGTGTGTGTGTGTGTGTGTTTCTCTCGATGAGACTTGTAATCTAATTTTTTTAAGTCCAGGTGAAGAATCTTGTTAACTAGCAGTTGGTAAACTTCACTAAGTCGCCTCTCCACTTGTCGATGCCTGTGATTGGCCGGCGCCCTCTGTGGCCGCAGCACTCGTGTGAAAAGGACTCGTGTTCCGCACCGGTGCATTTGTTAATTGAATCTGTTTTCTGCTCTTTGTGTCCGACCAATTGTTCTAATGAGTGGGAACACGGATTAGGGAGCTCGTTGCGTGTGTTAACAACCGGATGAAAGAGCAAAGGGAGGCGAAGCGGGGCATGTCATTGGCTAACAGCTGTCCTGTTGCTCCACTAATCCTCTTGACTAAATTACACTCCACACCTAACTAAGCAGCCACGGAACTAACCACCCTCATGCGCCAACTGTCGACTCACTCCCCGCCCTCTGACTGCGACCG